CAAAAACCAGACACAGCGCCTAAGTTCTTGCCCCAAAGAAAGAGCAGCAGTCCTCTGGGGAAAGTTCTGAGCGGAGGGAACAGTGCGTGGAAGGCTTCAAGGCAAGGAGGAGGAAGGCGTCTGAGCAAACCTTCAGAAATTGAGGCTGCTGATTCTAGATGTATAGTTTGGATCCATTACTGGGGCCTCTGGAGAGAGAAGTGTAGACTTGGGCTCATGGCCCTTCTCGGCCTGTGGCCTTGGGCACACCTCTCATTCTGCAGGCCTCAGGGGCCTCATCTTTAGTGGGGATAACAATAGAACGCCCCCCGCTGGCCTCATGCGACCAGAGCAGGTGCTGAGGCTTGCTAAGAGGTGCCGAGTTGGAGAGGGGCCCCTGTTCGTGGAGACCTGGGGGAAGTGAGCACGGAGCCAGGCTGGCATCTCAGGTGGGAGACACAGCCCGTGCAAAGGCCCGGAGGTAGGACCGCTCCAGGGACCTCAGAGAAGCCGAGTCGGCTGAACAGGGATGCGCAAGGGAGGGGTGAGTCTGGGAGGCAGAGGGGCTGGGAGCGGGCACCAGCCAGCTTTGGCTGACCTTTACCCCTTTGTCCTCCACGGGAGGGGGCCCCACTGAGGGTGATGTATTTCTCTCTCTGATAAAAGTTCTCTCCCAGAGCTCCTAAAATTCACGCTTTTTCAGGACCCTCTTCAGGCATCACCTTGCATGATATGAAATATTTTCCAAAACATTTAATCCTTTAATCTGGGCCCCTCGGTGACATCAGTTCTGTTATCACCCACGACCTTCTGTTGTTTCGGCCGCACCGTAAATAACTCGGGAGATTTGACTTCTAAGGCGCTTATCTCTTTTGTCCTCTCCAAATTCTGGGAGACGACGTCTGAAGGTCCCTCAGAAAGCAGGGGCACATCTAAAATTGATCTCTCTGCACACCCCTGCTGGGCTGCCATTAGGAAGTCACCAGACCGGGAGGCAGGGGCTGGGGTGGCAGTGGGGGGGACACAGGGTTTCACTTCTGATCCGCAGGCTGCAGTCAGTCCCCTAAATGAGGCCTTGAGTCCGAACGGGCCATGCGGAAGCCCCCCGCCCCCCACCCTGGCCTCCTGACCACGCGCGGGCCTTTCCTCATCACCCTCCCAAGGAGGCCGGGCCGGCTGCCGCCTTGCATTAGGATCACAGTGGTCGGGCCCCAACGTGAGTCCAATTTTGTTCATTCTGACGAAAACGAAGTAAGAGCTAACGGCGCGGGGTTGAAAATTATTCACGATGATACAGGACTTATGGGGACCGGCCTGAGCAGGGGGTGGTGAAAAGGCTGAACCAGTTTGCGAATCCGCGCTCCGGTCTCCCCTTTGTTTTGGGGGGAGAACCACCAGTCTTCTGCAGCCTTTGTTTCCTTATATGCCAAATGTTGGCTTCATTCTTACATTTCACGAATTAAACGGCAGACATATATATATATAGGAGAAAAGAGATCTTCTCTTGGCGAAGCTGGGGAGAGGCCGGGAGCCCCATCCTCCCCAGGCTGCCCCTGCCTCACTTGGTCCCTGCTTTCTTCTCCCTCTTGCCCTCCCTCTAAGCCCCACGGGTGCCCTGGGACGTAGTTTGAAAACCGCTGGTCCTTGGGATGACACTTCCAAAATGCACCTGCTCTCGGGACCTATCCTCGGTGACCCCACGCCCCCTACAGGGCATTGGAAGCAGCGCATAGACTTTGCAGCCTCCGCAGTAGCTGGGGCGGGCGGGTG